TTGACTGTCAGAAATACCTTATTAGGATTTAACAATATAAATTGAAAGAACAGACGGTTTTCTAGTGAGTAGCTAAAGAAGTAGCGCGGTCGGTGAAGCACAGGGTGGAACAGATCTGAACCGTGCGTTCCTTGCTAAGGGGATTCTGAGATCCATTTAACCAGCACGGCGAAACACGACTGGATTCAAGGAATGCACTAGGGCCTACGAACGCGACGTGAAAGCTCCGGCGTGTGAGTTGCAAAGAGTAGTGTCGCGTGCAGCAACTTTTCAAGCGGAGCTTGTGCTAGGTAAAAAGCGTTGTTCACATTGGTTTGAGCCCAGGAACTTGGTAGAAGGAACACAGACAAGACAGACCTGGACGTGTGAGTCTGTTCAAATCCCTCTCTTTTGCACTCCCAACAAATCATAGGAAGGCGTCTACAGACCCGCACCCTATCTTTCCCTCTGAGCTGCTATCCCACGACTGTGGCATTTCTCCAAAATGTTCCTTCTGCGGCGAACCTTACGCCACGCTTTCCCATGTCCCATTCGGCTTCCCTGCTGATCCTCCCCTGCAGGTACAGCCTGCCAACTCAAGCTGAGAGGACTGGGATGTCCTGCTCTGGTCTGAGTAACCGGTGTGGCACCTTGCTGCGGTGACTCGGGCTGATGATCAGTTTATCAATCAGTTTGATTGATAAATCAGTTTGATTGATATGATGGCGGTGGGAGGCCTCGCCGTGTAGACGTGGTGTGGGACCGGGCGGTGGCCCAGGGACCCTGAGGGGGTCCAAACACACTTGCCAATAAAGTTGTTCTGTCTGTTTATCAAGTTGTGCCACTCATGCGAGTATACTAGGTATGAACCAGCTACTTTTGGTCAATACTGTTTTGTTGTTGACGTTGCAGGTGGGACCGCTAATGAAAACCAAAACCAACAACTTCATGACAAAGCGGCCCTCAGAGCAGCACTGGTCGCACGCTACCTTAATATCAAGTTTCTACATTTTGTTGTTGACTGCATATGTATGTACGTCAGCGATTCTTGCCAACGAAAACTGAAGTGTTGCGCAATTGAGCACGTGGCGGACGTTCCAGTTGAATGAATGAAGAGAAATGAAGAAAGTATTGTGCATTGCGATTGAAAGAAGGAAAGAAAGAAAATCAGTACGTTGGGATCACACACGCCAAGCCTGATTATGCGATCTTTCGAAGGGCACAGTGGTTTTGCGGCACTTCACACACTCGTTTGTTGAAAAAATCTCTAAAGTGTAGCGAAAGGACATTCAATATTGCTTTATCAGAAACTTCAGTGAGATTACATGGTTGGTTTGAAACACTGCGTTATGTAAGGTTGACAAGTTCTTTTTTTTTTGACATGCGCAAGAGGCATAAACGCCATTGCATTCTCCAAAAAAAAAAAGTACATATATGGACTACAGCCTGTGTTTTCTAGTATTCTTCTACCGGAACTACTGAGCTTTGTAATTTGCTCACGTTGGCAGGCTTATGCAAAAAAAAAAAGAAACACCACGCCATGAAGTATTTAATAAAAGATGTCATATTTTATACATCTATACTGTACTGATAAGCTTAGAATATGCCAAAAAAGATTGGGACAGAATAATTTTTTCATAATAGACTAAAACTTTTACACATTTTTAATGTCTAGTTGGCGCTGGTTTCAGTACACACGTTTCTACAGTGGCATAGCTTTAGATGAGCGTGCGCTGATTTCGGCGTGGCGAATCCCGGCTGCGGCGGCTGAATTTCCCATGGAGGCGAAAAGGATCTAGGCCCATGTGCTCAGGTTTGGGCGCACGCTTGAAAACCCCAAGTGGTCGAAATTTTCGGAGCCCTTCACTACGGCGTCTCTCAGTCAATGCTCTTCAATTGGCCAATAGATGGTCTTCAGGTTTATATATATGGTGATTTTGGATGTTAAAACCCACATATCACTCCATTGACGTTACAATAAACTTGACGGGTGCTTTGCTTGTCATAAATTGCATGCACATAGATAAAGCTTGGAGCATATGTCGGCGAAAAATTCGGAGCACACTTGAACTCAGTCATGATGTATATAATTCGTGCTTATGGCTCAGTTAGACTTTTAAACAGCAAAATTTTCTTCAAATGTACTGACTCCAACCCAGGCTCACTAAAGCTTTTCTCAAGTGGAGCTACTCGGACTGAAACTCACCAAAATGTCACTCACTCGGACTGACTCATACTCACACTCAATACTCTGTCGGAGTCAGGGTGAGGCTAAGTAAGCCGAGCCGTGCGCCTGTAAGCCTAGAATCAGCATCTTTGACCATTGTGTCAATGCTGTTTCATTTGCCAAAAGCCGGTCTTCAAGTTCATTGACTGAATGTACTTCACATCGTGCAGTCGAAACACAACGCCATCTATTTGCGACGTGCAAGACGGTGCGTGTCCTTTCTAATTTTTTCCAGGTGACAATAATTGACCGATACAAGCAGGGGTCCCACCTTTCTTCATCATTAACACCACGTGAGATGCCATCGAACCTTAGATGGCTTAGTGATGTCACCGCAAAGCATTCGTCGACGTGTTTCCTTTCCGCGACATCTTTACGCGTTAAAACTCGGTGCCGGCTTTGACGGATTCATCGGGCACTCTCTCATGTTACGATGCGATGGTTCATGACTGGGGTCTGTCGAATGCTAGACGACGACACAAAGCGGTCGTTAAATTGCAAACGTAGGTCTTTGAGGTGGTCTTGCTAACACTTCGGAAAGAACGGGTTGACGTCGTCATCTAGCTGGGGACCTCAGTTCGTCGAAGCAGGGTCGGAAGCTTCGAAGAACGCGAAAACACGAAATTATACGTGTAGGCGAGCGTCGTATCAACGTTGAGTTGCCACTGTCAGTTTATTTCAAAAGTGTGTATCAATTTTCTTTTTGGCTTCACACTGCGGATGGCTGGCCAACATTTTCTTGAGTTTCGGAGCAGTGGCACCTTAGTTCGGGCCAGTATGTAAGCATGGGCAACTTGATAATATACCGGTTGGTGTCGTATGGTGTACTTGCGCAGGTAAACTAAAAAAAAGAGAGAGGAGAGCAGAAAATAGCAAATACAATACAAAGCAGTCGCCCTCACCAAGGCACTGTTCTTGCTCTCCGATGCTTCCTTGATCCCCACCTCTCTAAGCGGAATACTGACCATCGCATTTTCTGAGGGAGAGAGCTACGCACATATCGACAAATTTAGGCCTCCGTTTTTACTTGCTAACGAAATAACCATGCATATTCATGGTGTACCTGCGCAAGTACTCAATAATACTTGAGCTGCCGTGTCTGTGCTCAGTGGTCGACTGTGCCGCAAGTTAAAGACGCTTAAGCTTCCGTTTTCAGACGTTTCTTTCCTCACGGCGACTGTGCCGCACATCCAACCGTCGTGGTGTGCACAGCTCGTCTCGTCATCCAGTATATTTCGTATGTAGTCAAATTAGTTGTGCTTTCCCAATGTTCACACGACATCATCTTCAGCTGGCACTTCCTTTCACTCATCATGCCATCGCTCACAGTGTACGTGCTAAGTTAGAGTTATCGACGATATGTGAAGTGTGCTGACGTCTGACAGACCTTCTTTGCAGTCATTACCTTCTCAGTCATCGTCGCTGCGGACACTCAAATCCCTACTCTATTCCACTCTTCTTCGATGGCGTACCCTCTGTCACCGCCATCTCTATTCCGTCCGTCGCCTTCGACTCTCGAAAAAGCTTCCGTGTCCCATTCGCAGTTGTCACCATATAAAACTCACGCGCCTCTCTATATACAATGAACCCGCTTCTTTCCCCAGCCATCTTACTCCAATGAAAATGACGGAGGTATGTGACTAGTGCAAAGATGATAATCATGAGATGCGTGTCATGTAATAACATGCTACATGCCACGCTCACGATACACTCACGGTCGCTTCGCTAGCTTCAAAGATATTGAATTTCGAATTACGGGACATGAATGAATGCCGAAGGTATGTGATGGTGCAAACAAGATAATCAAAAGATAAGTGTCCTGTAACAACATGACTTACATGCTACGCTCATGATACGCTCACGGCCATTTCGCTAGCTCCACATATAACAAATTCGGTATTACGTGACGTGAACGAACGCCAAAAGTACATGACACGTTCGAACATGATAATCATAACATGCGTGTGACGTAAGAACTTTGCAACATACCACGCTCCTAATGCCCTCGCGGCTGTTTCGCTAACTTCACATATTCCAAACTTCGTATCTCGTGACGTCACTAAACGACAAAGGTATATCTCACGTTCAAGCATGGTAATCATAACATGCATGTAATGTAACACATGACTACATGCTACGCTCATAGTGCAGTGTCGGCCATTTAGCTAGCTCCATTTATACCAAATTTGGTATCACATGACGTGAATAGGCGGCGAAGGTAAATGACACGTGTAAACATGATAATCGTGACTTGCTTGTCATGTAAAACTTGACAACATCCTACGCTCAAAGCGTGCTTGTGACCGTTTCGCTAGTTCCACATATACCAAATTTGGTATTACGTGTTGTGAATGGACAACAAACACGAATGTCAGGCGCAAACATAATAATCATTACATGGAAGTGATGTACGACATAACGTACGTCCACCTTATAACGTTGTGCTGATTTAAAGTGACATATCAACCTTCCTAGTTTGTGTTCGTATAGCATCGATTTCCACTGTACGTAGGATCTGACAATGTTTTTTGTCTACTTCGTGCCCTCCAACTCTTTTATTTGCGTGCTATAAATGTCAATAGTGTTTAGCACGTGAGCTGAATATTTTTTAAAACATTACACATTAAATACTTGGTGCACGAAAATGGTCTCTTGCTTTTAGTGGACTGGATAAAGTTATACATGTTGAATTGCCGTTGTAATCTTTGAGTACCTTGCCTGTAATTTCATAAGAATTATGACATGCGTTGCTTTCATTGCTAACATATTTATTTGTTATGCATCTATTATGCAGCATTCCAGGCCCAGGACCTCGGTGAGGACGACCTTGAAAGGGATCTCTTACATGGTCAGTGTGAGTGAACTTTAGGGCAAAGTCATACTGCCAACAACTTCAAGGCTTAACAATCCACGAATTCTCACCTTAAAAACTAAAACGCTTTGTCACATAAACGAAAACATTAAGGCAATCACGTGCAATAATTCCTGATTGACTGTTTTAAAACACGTTTATTTTTCTTTGCACTAGGGCGTTGCAGTGCACAGTAAAAGGGCACCATAGCAGGTTAACTGTTGAATATGTTGCATTGGAGAGACAGAATCAATCGAGTAGTCATACTGCCATCAGTAACATTAGCATAGGACTAGCAACAGCTTAAGTTTTAGCAGTAGTAGCGCCGCATACCACATGTAAAGGGTGAGTGAAATGTTGATGGGTGGTTTTTCACTGTCACAGCTAGCGGTTTTATATGGTCAACGCTGTTTTGGGTTATGAATGTGCTGCCATGGTCTTGAAGATGCCATTAAGTGGTAAGCTGAGGAGTGCTGTCTACCCATGTCGAGGTATATCAAGCCAGTTTTTAGCGGGGAAACATTTAACTGTCGAGCGATGTCCGCAATATTTCTCGATGACGATAAAGCTGACGTTGATCAAAAACAAGCGTCTTCCAGATCAACTATTCTCTTTGTGCCATACCGACAAGGCACATGCAAGGTACACTCTAAGCCAAAAGGGAGCAATAAGGATATATGGTTTGCTCTTTTAAGGGAGCAATTTCATTGTCACTCCCATTACTCCCCTAAAAGGAGTAACGGCAGAGGGAGGAGCCGTTGCTCTCCAGTCCCACCAGTGCTCCCCTAAGACCAACGGCTAGTCTTCACCGTTACTCCCGCATGTTTGCAGTTACTGCCCGAGGACCAACTGCACAGGCTTCCTGTTACTCTTAGTGGAAATAATTATTTCTCTCAAGAACGCTTGTGAGATGGTTAGCACATGGCGAGAGTTCCGCAGAGCGCTGCTTGGGTGCTTGTAACCTAAAAAGTGGATGAAATGGAAAGGAAAAGAAGTGCTTTATGTTTTTTTCTTTTTTCTTTGAAGCGACGTGTGAACACACGCAGAAGTAGACTTCGCCACACCACAGCCAACACTAAACGAGCGGTATAATAAATCAAATGTTCTGTGCGTCTTCCATGAAAAAGCAATCTTGAATTCCCAGTATAGGGCAGTCTGTGATATAATTGCAGGGAGAAGGGCAACTTCTGCAATTGTGAAGGACTCGAGTTGTGCAGGACTGTTGTTTCCATCAAGCTAGCACAGCGGCATGTCACCGCAGGCATATGTGAAGCATCTAATTGCTGCAAGAAGAAATAGAAGTATGAGGTTTAACATGCCAGCATCAGTTGATAAGAATGAGAACCACACCGCAGCAGCGTTTCCATTCTAGGAAGTCCACTGCAAAACGAAAAGTAAAAAAAAAAGTTAGGTTCGGCCCAATTTAGTTGACAAGCCATATAAATGCTGGTGTGGTGGACGCTCTTTACATGATGTCTGTTGCCAAGATAGCTGATTTTGCAGAAAATGTGCAGCACTTCAAGAAGGAATATAGTCGTAGCAGTTAAAGCTGTGTAGCAGCGTAGCAGTTAACTAGTTTCCTATACATAGCTGTGTGACATTTTCATGAGCCTATTCACCAGTGGGCATTCTAAGTGGCAAATAACAAAAACCGTCCGTTCAGGTTAAAATATTTATTTAGCTCGTCACATAGTTACTCTCGATTTTACTGTTCTGTCATACGCTGCTGCGTCATGAAATGTGCGATACCTGTAGGTGCAAGCCAAGCATGCAAAGGAGTCTTGAAAGCAACCTTTTCCAGAGGCTACTTGATGATATTCAGTAAAATTTTTAGTAGCTGACGTAAACGTTTGGACAAAGCTTTAGACACAATAAACACAAACAGTGCTACCTTCAGACAATGCTTTAAAAATAGGAAACTTGGGTGCACTTATTCACTTGGTTGACGAGTCACAGCCACGAGGTCTGTGAACGAAACAATATATCTTAAGGCATGCAGAGATATTCCAATTCGTTTTCTGACAGTGTCACAGATAGCTTGCCAATACACGTATATTCGAGCGGAACCGTGTGTCAAGCTTTTAATATTTGGAAGTCTTGTTTGTTCGCAGCCGAACAGGTTACTGCTCTGTCGGGCCAATTGGAATAAGTTTACTATGGTTTCCAAAAAAAAATGAATTATTTGAAGTAAGCGCTTGGATAGAATGTCTGCCTATTTATTTTGTACTCTCTTCTACATGTACCACAAAGACATTTGTTGAAGATGTGCTGTCATTCCAGCCCACATAGCATACTTGGTCAACGTGATGGAAATACAAAGATTAGGAACACTGCCACCTATAGCGCATGTCAACACTCGCGCCCAAGTTTCGCAAGTCATGCACTCCGCGACTGCACCCACGTCTTCGTACAACATTACGCAATCATACCACCACTGCAACCTCCTTACGGCGGCCCCTTTAAGGTTGTCAAGCGTTGCCCGAAGAACTTCGTTCTGCTGCTTAATGGACGTGAAGGTAGTGTCTCCATTGAACGCATAAGGCCGGCTTTCTTGGACACTGACGCCGTCCTCGTAGACTACAAGCCATCCACGCAAACAAGACGAACGCGCTTCGCAACAGCAGAACCTACAACCTGCTCCGAGGGGTCGCTCCTTCGCAGACTGGCTACCTCGCTAAAGGAGCGGTGGGGGGGGGGGGGGGGGGGGTGCCCTATGGCAAGTCGTCAGCGTCTCAGAGAAGATGAAGAAATTGTGCCGCTGCTGCTGCACGTGTTCGATCAAGGCGAGAGAAGAAGACGCCAGCAAGAACGACAGCGTCTGTGGACGTCCATTCAAGAGCAGGGATAAATAACAAACGTGGAAAACCAAACGCCGCACGTCTCCCTATAGTAACAGAATAACACTTCAGTATCTTAGAACAGCAAGCGTGTTTTTAGGAAACTTGAGAACACCCTTGAAGAGCTTAAAACTAGTCCCACTCTGTAAAACTAGTATTTTTCAGAGTGGGACAGGTCAGCGTGCAGTGGGATAAAATCCAGGAAACATATGCAGAAAACAAAGTAAAGGTGAGTTATAAAACGCTGTTACGAAGGCCTGCGCACGGACAGCTTTGTGAATTTAGGCCCAAGTGTTATGATTCGTGCTATGACTTCATCTTCTCCATGTATGGTACTACTGTATTTTTCATGTACATTTCCATTTTCTCTACTCGCATACTAAACGTGTCCACTTTCTCGTTCATTCGCATCATGTTCTCGTTCATTAGCCTCATATTCTCGCTGTCGACATGCTTGGCGTCCTCATTGCGCGGACATTCGCGGTCGTGTTACAGCTGGCTTCCTACGAGCCAGATATTCTACACGTTGTTCTCCCTGTCTCGCAATGTCGAGAGGTAGGGAAGTTTCAATATCGGTTGGTAGTTCGGGAGTGCGCGTTGCCGTACTGCTGTTTGCTTCATGTGCTTCAGATAACTCGGGGATTAGCTTGGCATAAGCGGCTTTCAGCTCTCCTAACTTCTGTTTTAACACAGCTATCAATTCTTTATCAGTGTTGCAAAACTCACGTTTTTCCTTCGGCGTAGTTGTCCTGGTGCTTCTGACCACCCACATTCGGTCGCCTCCATTGTTCTGTCCCGCGAATCAAGCCGGTGATCCTGAGCGACTCCTGCTAGTGGTTGATGTCCTCGCAGACGTGCGGCACCGAGATCAGGAGGGGGAGTGGCTGAGTGTCAACGTCTTCGATATAGATCGGCCTCGTTCTGTCGGTCAATCATCTTCGTCCAGCAGTGCCTGACCTTGATGCTCCAGTCGGGCTTGTTGTCGTTGTGCACGCAACTCATATGGGATGAAATATTGCTTGGAGTACACCTTGTCCACCGCCTTGTGAAAGCCTCCGTACAGCTTGCATTGGGAACCATACACTGGAGATAAGGTTGGGTTAGCAATTCCGCGCCTCGCAGCCTCTGAATTCGGTGCAGCCTAGATAAGTGCAAACGCCCCCACGGTAGCCGAGGTTCCCGCATACGTATAATATTGCCACGTTCCATTTCCCAAGTTTTTGTTATCGTCCCAAAACACCACACGATTCTCAGCGCAAACCGCACCTGCAGTTTTCGAGAAGGTTCCAGACTGTAGTAGATCATTTCGATAAGATCACGCCCACTGTGCGAACAGTACAGATTGTTCTGGAACCTATGCCACCACCAGCGATAACACTAGAACATTCGACAGCAAGAGTATAAATGCCGACGCGCTTCGCCGCTTGTCAGTTGTTGATCGAAGGCCGACGCTCAATTCGCCGCTATCAGTCCGAGACTGCTATCTGTGCGAGACTGCTGCTGTAATTGGACTTTCCGTTTACCGGGCACAGGTTCGCCCAAATAAACAGTTAAATCCCAACACGAAGTCTCCTGTCTTCGGCCAAGTCACGACCCCGTGACATCTGGTGGAAGTGCTGCTTCTTTCATGTACCGGACGCCCCCGTCAAGTCGTGAACCCAGCCCACGTCGCGGAGAAGACACCGACGCCAACCGGGAGCAGCGAACAAGCCGCCGACAGCAAGGGCTACCACCGGAGTACGGGCTTCTACAAGACAAGGCGCGGAAGACCAAGGCCATGACCGCGACTGCAGCGACAATGACAACCGCCGCATCCCAGCCCACGATGGTCATGCAACAACCCAGGGAACCACCAATTTTCCATGGGTCATCGTTCGAAGACCCGGAGTCCTGGCTAGAAACATACGACCGTGTGGCTGCCCTCAACCACTGGGACCATGACGAAAAGCTGCGTCGTGTGTTCTTCTATTTGAAAGACACCGCAAGGACCTGGCTCGAAAATCGGGAGTCCACGCTCCAAAAGTGGGATGTTTTCTGCGGCGCATTCCTGCAAACGTTCGCGAGCGCCGCTCGCAAAGAGAGGGCCGCTGCTTTATTAGAGACCCGCGTTCAGCTACCAAATGAAAATGTCACCATTTTCTCAGAAGAAATGACTCGACT